ATGTTTGGTTGATAGTTAGGATAGTGGACCAGAAATATCTCGGAAAGGATAACGATCTTCAGGATCTACCCCCTTCATCAATGTCTGTGCGATCACTCTCGCTTCTGTGGATAAATTCTGTATTGTACCTCCATACGATGGTACGTTTTTCAGTCATGTTACTTTTCTACGGAACTGCATGTTTGATTGGCTGGCTAATTAATACTCATTCATTTTATGGGTAATAGTAATAGATAGGCAAGCAAGGACTCAAGGATCTCGAGTCTCTCTTCTTGGATATTTCGGAGGGGGTTTCCTTGCGGAAAGATAAACGTCATTGAGGAATGATACGATAGATATACATGTCGAGGTCTAATGTCTTGGATATTAGAATAATAAGAAAGAAAGAGATCCATAATCACAATAATATCATTACTCGTGCTACTCCCCCCCCCTGAAAGACCTTGCCCTAGCTATAGTACCTCGAAACTATTTCGAAAGAAGCAAGCCAGTAATCAGTCAGCCTTATCATATAAAGTCATGTAATGGAATGAACCAAATACGTACCCGTACTGTACTCGACCTATCCCAATCCAGGATCAAAACGAAAAAGCGGACCAAAACAATTGCTACCTACTTCATCCGCAGTTCCGCATCATCACGAGCATGTATTAATACACTACTGTAACTATTCATCAAATGACTTCCCCCTTTTTAACCGTTATACCGAGAAAACCCAATATTCTCTCTCCGATAGAATAGTTGCGATTAACCTTGAACTTTCTCATGCGTTGTTTGTGTTCATATCGCGTTTCTTACTTTCTCTAATCTTTAAAGGTGCTACAGCACAGCACATGTAAATAATGTACTGTGCAGTACATAAATGAGATTGGTACCTTAGAAATCAATCAACAATAAGATTGTGCAACACTTGCACTGCCTGCTGCAGAAAATCATCGCTGCCTTGCGCCTCGCGGGGGGGTGAAAGTGGATGGGGAGGGGGAAGAGTGGATGGGAGAGAGAGCCCCCCATCTCCCCTTGAAAGGTCGGCTTACTGCAGCCATCGGGGCCGCCCAGTTTTTTTTCATACATACATAGTATAGTGTTACGGGAATTTTGGCTGCAGGCCTAACTTGGAAAGGTTAAGGGTCGGTTGTCGGCGACCATTGAGAGAAGCACCTGCAGAATGATGCCAGACAGTTACATTTTCACGGAGCTCATCTTCTTTGCAGTTGTGTACTCAAGAAGTAATGCATCTAACCTTTTTTCTTACGATCTTCAGGATACTTTGGGGTCCTTGCACCACGGTGAGCGACGGGTAGGATTGGGTTCCTTGTCCGCTCGCTTTGCTTTTTGGCAATTAGCTAGTTCACTTGGTTAGCTGGTCTGGTTAGTTGGCTGATTCGGAGTACCCCACCTCCATCCATGGCTCCATGGCTCCAATATGGCTTGTCCTAGGTTCATTTTGCAGAAGACCCGTAGACCCTTTTTCCGCTCTTGTCAAAGATTAAAAAGAACAATAGCGTTGAAACTGTTGGAAACCTGAGGATAATAGGGATAATATCCGAAGACCGAGCGAAGATTTGATCGCTGATGAAACTTATGAAAAGGTCGAAACAGCGTCGAGCCGACGGGCCTAATGGAAAATTACCGTTGACAAGATGAACTAATAAGAACTTTAAATTCGTAAGCTTTATCCAAACATACCAATCGATCTCTTCAATTTGTTTCGGCATTCAAATCTTTTACGAAAGTTCGATGACAATCGCTCGGGGAACGTTACTGTCCTGTACAGTACAGTAAGAACTTAACTTACTTCAGACGGGTGGGAAGTACTTCGGCAGGATGTCAGCACTCTAATCGATTCTTCCTCCGTCGAGAATTCTTTCAGGACCTCGGACGAACAGAATAGATTATTGACAAGGAGTTTGAAATAGCCAAAGACATGGTGTTGATGGTCCGGATCACGACTCCACGGAGCAGGAGCACGCTAGATTCTCATGGTCTCCATGGTCCTCCATGAATATTTGAATCTTTCGGAGGCTTTTCATGGGAGATCATTCCAAGGGGTTAGATTGTCCAATACTGTGTTTTGGTACCGATACACACACAAGATATGTGCAATGTACACAAATAAAACATTATTGGAATAATGGAAAAAGCGTTCCCTAAAGCTCGTGGTGCACAAAAAGCCCAATAAATCTTTCTCGAAGGCGGTAAGAAACATATGTCTTCTGCAGGAACCCTTTTGTAACCAATCAACTTCCAATAATCCTCCCCAATTTCCACATTTCCAAGCATATATATTGTTCTTGAGCCATAAATTAGCGCTTAAATTGGATGAGCCGCTCTCCTGGGAATAATAATGACTGGACAATATCATGTCTACTAGGTATCATGCAAAGTCAAATATTGTGAACAAAGCTACATTATTAAAGTAATGAAATGTACGAAAGCACACCGCTGAGAAGATACATACATATTCTTCGGAATCACTTCTTTTGGACCACTTATGAATGCTCTTCCAGGAAATCGGTTGGATCTCGGAAGAAGGAATCATTCTGTAACCAGTTAGTTTCCTCAAAGAATTGGGTACTCAACGGATGATCACTGTGGTCGTCGTACATTATGCAGAGAGCTGAACGTAGAAATGATGAAGCCTTGAGAAGTTGAGAGAGGGTTAGCTGGATGGGTAAGCTTTCATCTGTATGCAGGTACTCGTAAAGATAGTTTCGTGCACCACGACTCCACGACCTACTACTACCAATACAGGAAAGTTGAAGCGTACGAAAATAGTGATAAAGTTTTGGATACGATGATAGACCCCCAAAGACCCAAAAGAGTTGATCTCGACTCTCTAGTTGGGTTGGTGCCCACACCTATCTGCCGTTGACCCACGACCTCAAGCCGCTATCTCTTGGCCGCTCGACGGGGGGAATTACTGAACGGCCACTTGCAAGACTTGCACGAATCGTGGAATTTTGTGCAAGACATTTGCAAGTGAGAGAGCGGAGGCAAGCATTATGAAGTACGCGTAAGGTTGCGGATACAACTTCCGTGCCGAATGACACCCTTCATAGAAGGTTCTAACTTCTAGTCAATATGTACAGTACTGTATTGAGTGCACAATCTTGTAAACCTTGGACATCGATTCGATACTGTATCGTCGGTTGAGTTGTTGATATTTGAAGATTTTCAATAGGATTGGACTTTCGTCGGCGATGTCCATAATGAAATGAGGTGATCTCTTATATCTGATATGCTCTAGGAGCTTCCTCTTATGAAAAAAGTACAGCATAAAGTTTATTTGCAGTGTGCAGGAATTGGGAGACATGGAGCTTGGAAGGATAACAAGCAAGACAAGGGGGAAGGGGAGTGAAGTTCAACCACTATAAGAGAGAGTTTGATTCAATCAATAATTCAATCAAAAGGTTGTTGTGACCCTAAGTAGGCATGGTATCATTTTATAATCGTTGGGATCTTCCGTATTTGGGTATTTATTTTATCAATAAATCCAGCCCAATTCAATAATTTAACCAATTATAATTCTAGATTTAATTTTTAATCCTTACTCGTACTTGTGTACCCCCTTTTAATTGGATCACAACGCTTTTTCGCTTCCTATCAATGCAGGCTTACACCCTTTTCTAAATGAACTCATCCGTTTTCTCCGTTTACATAGCTAGCCAACCTTACAACCTTGATTATCATCCCACCCACAAATCCTGAACTTATAATCAAAAATCCCTCGTTCATCTTGTTCTACCTCAACGATGGCACTGTTCAAGGGCTATATCCTGCACGAGAAGGATGGGGTTTAACCCAGCTATTGGGATCCTTTAGGTTGGTCGAGAATCAGGTGAATCAGGTGAATGATGGGTAAAAGCGATATGGTAGGTACTGTATAGGTAAATATACTGTTGTATCGTTCAGTATTGTTCAGCCAGTCGCTATTCGTAGCTACTGTACAGTACTGTAATGTATAAAGAAAGATACCTAGTGCACAGCTCGACAATCAATCAATGCTGACAAGCAAAGGTTCTGTTCTCAGTCCTAGACTCTCTCCTAATCTCAGTCCCCAGCAATCTTTTGAACCTCTCGTTCTCTCGTTCTCTTACTGCTTGTTGTTATTCCTTCTTTGGGATATTTTCAATTTAATCCTTCCTAATGCTTTTATATCATTGGATCATTCATAATTTATCATCTGCAGTTACGGGTCGCTATTACTCTTCGAGGCAATTTACAGTACAACTCCGTTATTGTATGAAAATAGACAAATCGGCGTCCTTGGTATTATGCATCATCAAGGGGAGCGATACGAAATATCGTACCTCGATTCAATATCCAATCGCAACTGTGAGAAAAAGCTGGGGACGCAGAGCTCTCAACATATGTTATACATCATACCTCACATGCTAAGTGTTGAAACCAACATCTCCAACTTAAGGTGAGCATCATTGTGTCGGTATCCACGTCCTATGGGGGATTATACATTAGTTTCCTCGTGGGTTTATATTGTCTCCACGGTCTTTACGACGCGATTCAACGTCGTTCCGAGGATTAGTACCCTTGATGCTGGATTGTATCGCTAACGAAGAAACGCTCCTTGCTCCATTTTTTCTTGACAAACACCCTGAATGAGCAACCCTTGTTTTGACAGGCCTATTTTATTTGTGGCACACGCTGATCAGTATCTCCCAAGCCGAGCGTCTTCCGATAATCCTTAATCCGTCACTTATGTTGGACGCTGCCGCCCTCATTTTCGACTTTTGAAAGTCCTCAACTTCTTTATCGACCAAAACCGAAACATCAAGGCGTCATCGTGGCTGCAACGTGCCTCGATACAGCCTGTTCATCAGCTTGAGATCAATGATTGCGTCTTATGAAGCAGAAGCCATAAGCACAAGTTCCTGTAATCTATCGGGTTAGGATTCCATTTGAGTCGCCGCAGTGTTCGATATATATCACCCCCACAGAACATCAATTGAGTTCATTGACAGTTGTCAATCTCATCATTCAATATGTTCGGTCTAGGATCTGCAGGTATGGGCTCGGCGCCAAATCCCAATAGTTATCGCCCCTCATCATCCAAGAGGAAGACGTCTAAAAAAGACAATACCCCGCCGACAGCTAAGCACTATACGTACCCATCTGTCGAATACTTCGAGCCAGCCATTGATGGACCACCATCACCTCAAGGTATACGCGCATACACTGAGCAGATGAGGAGGGGTTCGGCGTTTGTCCCCAAATCGACTACCCCTTCATTCACCTCAGTTTCGTCTTTCCGTTCCCGTCAGTCCAGCCTCGATTCCTCCAACAGAATCGAATTGCAACGAAAATCCTCCGGTAAATCAAACGGCAGTAGCATGGCGACGAAGGATAAACACGATAGTCTGAACCTATTCGGAAAAACAATTTTTTCTCGAAGCAGCAAGAAGTTCAGGCGTAATCATGCTTCAATGACTGGTTCCTCGACATCGCTTGCCAGTAGTTATGCCGAGAAGGAACGAAGCGAAACATCTGGCCACAGCCCACCATCTGTTAGTTACCGTTCTCGAAAGAATACCATCTCTGGACCATACAACTTTCAGCACATCACACACACGCAGCAAAATGAATTACCCAACCTGGACGGGATTCCTCCCACTAAGTTGGTCTCTGAATTCTCGGCTCTCCGAGCATCTCAAGCTCCAACACATGGAAACCTCAGGGGTATTAGAGCTAGAGATTTGATGTTTGAGAATTTTTCTTCAGTGGCAATAGACTACGCGCCCGATGTTGACGCGCCTAGAAGTCCCACAAGCCCCAAAAGCCCGTCGTGTCCTGTTACCCCGCAAAGGCAAGGCGCATCTCGAGCGTCTGTAACACCACCACAACACCAACCATGGAGAGCTATTAATTACTCCGTGTCACATGACAATCTGCGATCAGCGCCTGTGCGCCCATCACGGTCTCCCGAGTCTCCTCGTTGTCCCGTCAATCCACCTGCGCGAACATCGTCAAGAGCAGCGTCGGCTTTCTTCAGTCATATCGACCCCTCCGCTTCGCTGAATTTTGGTCAACCTTGGATCCATGGAGACCTCCAGGAATCAGCCCCATTTGATTTCACTCCACAGACTCACCCTTCACCCCCGAAATGGAATAGAAGAGGATCAGAGGTATCTATCAAGCATCTATCTCATGCGGTCACTACTCCTGGCGAGGAGGCGTGGCCTTTATCTGCACCATTAAATGGAGGTTTTGGTGTCGATCTTGCAGATGTCCCCGAGGAGGAGGAACATACTAGGACGCGATCCAGGGAGTCGAGTACTGATGGTGAATTACGACTTTCAAAATCAGTTCCTGGATTGAGGATGAGAGCACTGGAGCAAGCTCCGGATATGCCTGAGATGCCACCAATACTAGGAAGACTTGGTTCCGTTGACACGACGAGGTTTTCCAAACGATGCAGCTCACCAAAGCTTGCCCTGTTCACGGACTCTTGGGAAGACGCGATCGATTTCTGCTACGAGCATGAAGCTGACGGAGAGTGGGATGATCAATGTGATGAAACAACTGAGGAACATAAACCTGTCATAACAGCTCCGGCTCCGCCAACTCAAGTGGAACAGCCCGCGAGGGATTTGCATGTGGATACCGAACGTCATGTTTCTCCTGGTCGATTTCGTCCATCACTACTTGTGCCCGCACCTTACGATCTGCCTGCACTTTCTCCACTATCAATTCTGTCGAGCGCATCGTCATTCCTGCCCACTCCAACTTACTTCCGCCCTAACCAGATGCGACCTATTTCTCACGCATCTTCGTTCAAAGAATCGGATGGGTTCAATCTCTCCCCAACTCTTCTCATTCCTTCCGATGAATATCCTCTACAGAGCGAGCAAGATGCCTTGTTCGACACATATCACCACGATAACATCCCATCGGCGTCAATATTCCCCATGGATACTTATGAGCAACCTACCTCACCAATAGATGAGGCTCTATCCAGTACCAATTCTTACCGCTCATCGGTTTATTCACATAATAGTCTCAGAAGCAGCACTATCAGTAGTCGCTACAACCGATCCAGTCAAGATTCAGCTCTACTTATCTTCCAGGCAGGAAGCATGAGTAAAGCTCATAGAAGTATTGGATCCGCTTCTTCTTTACCTGATCTTGTCCCATCCCTTCGCCCGAAACGTGACAGCAGAACACTCGGAGCACTTGCGACCACATCATCTGACCCGGAACTTATCATGAAAGGATCTGGCCTCAGATTCGATGACGACAAGTCATCTTCCTCTGATGTTGCTGGCCTTCAGAGTCTCCCAGTCAACCACGTGCGCAAGTCACTCAAAAACGCTCATTACTTTGCTCCACCACCCACTATTTCTACGGCTGTTCCTGATGCACTTTCTAGCATCCTTAGCCCTGTAGCTGAGAGCTTTACAGATTCACCTCCTAGACCACGTCTCAGATCCGCTCTTTCCCGCGAATTACACGCTCCTGCCTCAGTTGAATCTTTCATGTCCAACCACGGACGAAAGGTTTCTGCACCGGTCATCACCGACAAAAATGTTCAAGATGTTCGACCCAGATCAAGATCCAACACATTGTCCAATGCCGCCATGGCTGCCAAGCGCAGAGGAAGCTATAATCTTTTCCCTGCTCCTCCTACGAGTGCAGCAAAATAAATTGTGCTCTCTAAAGTATAATATTGATTCATATACCATACACATTATTGTGTACTTTGTACATTCTTGTACTACATCACAGACTACTATCACAACCACTACTTGCACATCCGCACTTTTCCTTATCAAAAGTCTTCGGCTCTTACACAGAGCACCTCACTACGACGCCCTATGATGTCACGAAATCAACAATTTCCTATATTCTCTTCGCACAAAATCAAACCAAAAGAAAACAAAAGTTTAATCATCGTCAATTTCTTATTCAGAGACGGAAAAGCAAAAAAACGCAGGACGGATCTCTGTATCATTATTCATACAATCGTTTACGTTTGCGTTTCGCATTCGCATTTTCCTAGATTTGCATTATTGGTAGTTTGGCAGATTGGGGTACTCGGTATCCAATCTTACACGTTTATGATGTAATTTTTCTTTTCTTTTTTCCTTGCTTTGTTTCTCGCGGGGCGATTCGGATCGCAAGCGGGTTTGCATCGTTTTTCTTCGCCGGTGAGCGTTTATGTGTTATGATATGATGGATTTTGTTTTGGGGTGGGCAGGTCACATAGCTTGCTATCTACCTACCTACCTCCTTGTGTTAGCTTTCCTTTTTTTTAGTGTGTATATGTGTGTATATCCTTGTGTTTTGGATATGCGTATATATACACTCAATGCGGGTGCTGCTGGATTTGACTTATTGAGGGAAAAAGCTTATAGATGGTTGGGGTTTGATTGTATGTATGGGATTCTTTTTGAAAGATCCACTAGTTCAGTGTTATGGTTTCTTGTTTGAGGGATTTGTATTCGGTGGTGTTTGTTGTTTTTTACTACTCTGTTTAGTGTTTAGTTTTTTGTGTTTAGTGTTCGCTTCTTTTTATCGTTGTATCTTTCTGGAAGGGAAGATGGGGCTGGATTGTATTGGTATGGTATGGCATGGTATGGTAGGGTATGGTATGGGGATTTGTGGATTGCCGGCCGCATACATATGGATGGATGGATGGATGGGGGAATATGCCCGGTGGCCGGGAAATGTTTATTAGTATTGGTATTGGTATTGGTATTGGTATGGTACTGACGAATGGATGGGCATGTGTAATGCGGATGGGTGTATGGGTGCATGAGGGATGTGTGGACATGTGGATATGTAGAGGGTGTAATTCTTGTCTAGTGGGAAGAGAGGAAGATTATATGGATGGGATGGGATGGGATGGATGGATGGAGTAGCTAGGTAGTTTAGATATACCGGCAGGATAATTGTTTAGCTGAGTTGAATTGAGTTGAAAAAAAAAAAGCTCATTATTACATAAATTTCCTTTTGGGATGTTTGACATTTCTATTTGCGTGATCATGAAGTCATTACGGATTCATAATCCAATCCAACCCAACCCAATCCAATTAAATCTACTCGTAATGGGTACAGAAATAAGATTGAGATACTCTACAGACTATATATAGTACAGTAACAGAATCAACTCGAGTACTCGAGCATATGTAACCCATCTCCATCCCAATCCCAATCCCAATCCCATTCCCAAGTGCAATAAAAGAGCAAAGCAAAGTAAAGCAAAGTAAAGCAAATGCAATCAATAAATCCTACAAGTTTCGCTGGGGTATATCGTATCGTATCATATCGTATCGTACATCAGTCATAACAGCAAGTAAACTCCAAATTATAGTGTGCACCCCGCCCTGCATACCATACCATACCATACCATCCATTAAGCTATCCATCCCTACATCCATCCATTCCTCCATCCACCAGAAACTCCCAAATATCATTCCCAAAGCCCAGACGTAAAGCGTAAAGTAAAAAGTCCCCCCTCACTTTCTAGGTCTCCCAGCGCTTCTCCTCTTAGCCACCGGCTGCTCTAAATCCATACCCGCCCTCTCATTTTGACTTTGAGCTTCCTCAAATTCCTCCACTATATACGGAACATCAATTTTCAACTTTTCCGCCGGCTCCCACGTATTGTACTTTTTTCCCCAGCCAACCCACTTTATGTGGTACTGAAATCTGCCTCCTGGGCCCTTCCGCTTACCCATGATCGATTCCACCTCATGCATGCCAGTGTCCTCATTCTGCGAGCTGTCCTCCCATTCCTTGACGAAATTTGGGCATGACTTTCGCAACTTTTCAATGGGTTCCCATGTCCAGTCCTTCTCACGAGGGAAATTCTTCCATTCGACGAGTAATTGTTCGTTGTCTGCCCCATCCTTTCGAGATCCTTGTACAGCAAGGACCTCGAAGAATTCTTTCGTCGTAGAATCTTTCAGGGTTTCGGTTTCGGTTTCGGCTTCCGGTTCGTCACCGTCTCCCTCATCTTCCTCATTTTCTTCCTCGTCCTCAATCTGTTCAGCTGCAGGAACGATTTTCTCAGCCAAATCTTTTGATCTGCTGCTAGATTTAGGATATTGCTTCGACGACATGACGACTTCTGCTTCTCCAGCAGGTGTTGTAAGTCCACCAATTTTTTTCGGTCTTCCTCTTCTACGAGGAGTGTCTTCCTGACCCTTATTATTGTCCCTCAATCGGCTTTTGTTTAATAAACTCGATGATTTGGGGGTCCGTTGCTTGTTTGGCAAATTTGGGAGTGCATCTTCTCGCTGTAACTCATTTCGAACTCCAGCTTCATCGTCCTCATCCTCTCCGTCTTCCTTTTCCATATTGCCTTTGCGTGTATTGTCTCCACTCATTACCTCGTCATATTCTTCATCTTTATCCTCATCCCCATTCTCACTCTCATCTTCACCATCTCCCCCACCCGCAAACATCTGCGCAACCGGAGCCCTCGAACTCCCCTCAGCATCAACCCGACCGCCCGTACCAAAACTCCTTCGCCCAGAACCTTTCCCCGACACACCCTTTCCACCCTTCACCACAGCCCCATTCTTATCCACCCTATTTACTTTTCGTTGCTCGACAGGACTCTGTTGCGCCGCACTCATATTCGGAACCGGAGCTTTGAACCGAGGATTTCGAGTATTCAATCTCGCCATGATTGGTGAATGTCAAACTCTCCGTCTTATGTATTCTTTCCGTATCGTATCGTCTCGTATCGTCTCGTCTTATTCGTGACGCGCAGTGGAATATTGTATTGTAATAGGAAACGCTTCGAATTGGCGACTTCTCTCAAGTATGCTCAAACCAAAGACTCGAGAATGCTGTATCGTATCTTATCGTATCGTATCGTATCCAAACAGCACCGTAATATTTCGCAGTCGTAAATATATGCGCCGCAGATGTATTTATTCACCTTGTTAATGGACCGATTGTTCAAGATGATACCTCGAGAATCTGAAGTTGTTACTATGCTAGGGAAAGAGGCGGAAGGGATACTGTATGACGTGTGGAGTGTTTGGAGGGGCTGGACGCGCGCAGGTGGTGCTTAGGTAATCTGAACAAAAGAAGTCGTTGATTGGACAGGACAAGACCTATATGAATATTATGAATTTCCAAATACAGTATATTTATATCTACCTAATTGGAGGCATAGCCTTCTAAATATTCTTGCAGCACATGAGTGTAAGCTGTAGTAGACTGAAAAAATGTTGTTTGTTTAAAATGAGTTGTATACCCCGATGTGATTGGTCTAAATCTCAATGTTAAAAAACTCTTGGCATTATATAGTTTTGATATCAATTATTTTAGCCACAATGTGGCTGAATATCCAAAAAATCTTTCGAAAAGCTTTTAATTCAATATAGAACCTTAAATAATTGAATAAATAATTATAATTTGATAATTAGATAAAAGCGATTAAAAGCGTTTAGAATATATGATTATTATTAAAATAAATTCAATATTAAGATAGATATTATCGAAATCATCGATTAAATAATAATAATAATAGTAGTTGATGATGATGTGGGGTGAGAATGAATGCTTAGTAATCATGCCTTAGGCATAATCTACTTGAAGCTTTTCAGATTATTATTATTGTTATTATTATTTTAAAAAAAGCTATAACGTGGTTTATCAGTACATGGATCATATCAGTACATGGATCACTTTTACCTCAATTTACAACTTTCAACTTCAACACGCGATTTATCAACAATCTACGATGCAATCGAACAATAAAGAAGATCGAATACTTTTAGCTATTGAAGCTATTCAAAAAGACAAAAAATTAAGCTATCGAAAAGCTTCCAAGCTATACAATATACCATATACAACGCTTATCCACAGAATGAACGGTTCTATCTCTTGTACAGAATATTGATCAAAAAATCATAATATTACAAAAATGGAAGAGGAAGTACTTATTCAATATATTATTGATATGGATAATCGAGGGTTTACATCTAAATTAAGTGGTGTGGAAGATATAGCAAATTATATTCTTGAATCGAGAGATACAAAAAAGGTTGGAAAACTCTGGGCTTATTGATTCGTAAAGCATTATATGGAATTAAAGATGTGTTTCAATTGTGTTTATGATTTTCAAAGAGTTCTTTGCAAAGATCCCAAGCTTATTGAAGAGTGGTTTCAATTAGTATCGAATATGCAGGCCAAATATGGTATTCAGGATCGCGATTTTTACAACAGCGTAGCAGAAGCAAAGTAATATAACCAGGCAATCGAGAATGGGCTATAGCGATTATATGTGGTAATAGAGAGGGTGAAACTATACCTCCATTTTTAGTGGTACAAGAACAATATCACCTTTCTAATTGGTATACTGAAACCGATCTGCCAGCAAATTGGGTTATTAAACCTACTAGCAATGGATGGACGAATAATGAGACGGGTTTAGAATGGATAAAACATTTCGATAAATATACAATCTATCGAAGAACAGGCAAATATCGAATACTAGTATTGAATGGGCATGAAAGCTACGAATCGATATCTTTTCAATCATATTGTACGGAAAATGATATTATATACCTCAAATTACTACTGCATTCAAGTCATTTAACTCAGCCATTGGATATTGGATGCTTTAGTGTATTAAAACAATCATATGGTTCTCAGATTGAAGGATTTATCAAGGCTTATATCAATTATATCTCAAAGGTTGAATTCTTTATAGCTTTCAAAACTGCATATCAACAATCGATTACAATTCAGAATATGAAAGCTGACTTTCAAGG